CCGCGTGCCTGCGGCTGGACGTCGTGGGGCACGGGCCCGGCTCCCCAGAGTGGCCACGCGACTGGCAGGTGGACGCGCCAGTCCGGACGGCGAACGCTAGCCGCCTGGCTGCCCGGGGGAGTCGGGGTGTTCCTGTCGCTGGAGTCGCTGTGCGCCCCCGTCCAGCCCGTGCTTGACCAGGTCTGCACACGAGGCTGCCCCGGGCCTTGGGGCCTTCGCTGGCGGCCCCCGTGGGGGTGCTGGAGGGTGTCGGCCCAGGCCCTAGGGGTGGGAGCCCAGTCACGCCTGCAGCCCTGGGGCAAGCCTGTGGGCAGAGCCCTGCCCGCTTGGGGCGCGGTCTGGCTCTGCCTCTGCTGCTCCTGTGGGGAGGGGGAGGGGCAGGCCTCGGGCTGTGGGGAGGCCTGGGCGCCCCGCTCTGGGGAGGGGCCGCCGACTCGGGGTGCCGGGGGCGCTTGGAGTGAAGCTGGGCACCCCCGGTGTGCCCAGGATGCGGGGCAGCGGGCCCTGAGGCTAGCGGCGGTGGCGAGGGTGTGGCCCGGTCCGGCAGAAGGGTGCGCAGTGAGTGGGGACGCTGGGTGGGGCCCACGGCCCGCACCCCACACCCGTGGAGCGCTCCGCCCCTGCGGGTCGGGTGCCCGAGGCCGGCGTCTCCTGGCGGGTCCCCGGTGGCCATGGGCAGCGCCCCCCGAAGGCCGGTGCCGGGCTCTTCCCGAGGCCGGTGGGTGGGGGCTCTCTGGGGAGTGGACTTCAGTCTCTTCCTCCCGCCCTCAGCTGCTTTTGGGGGGGGGGTGCCCCGGCGGGACCCAGACCGCTTTTTCTCTGGTGTGGGCACTTCTGCCGCCCCCGGTGCTGCTCTCCCGGGGGAGGAGGCGGCTCGGGCCCGGCCACGGCCGGTGGCGACGCAGCGTCCTCCGTGAGACGGCGCGTCGCGCTGGTGGGGGGTGCGGGGCGCGGTCTGCCGAGGCCAGCGTCTCCCCTAGGTCAGGCCGTTGCGTGTCTCCGGGCTGCGGCGTGCGCCCTGCACTGGGGCAGCCCGCGTGGCGGGGCGGCTCTCCCCGGCGGGCCGCAGGAGGCGTGTGCTCACGTCTGGACAGCCGTGGCCCAGCTGCCCGGGCCTCCCGCGGGTGCGGAGGGGCGGGGGGGTGCTGTGGGGTCAGCCCGCTGTGCGCCCGCGGGGCTGGAGCCGTGTTTCTGAGTCCGGGGAGCTGACACTCGCACCCCGACTCGCTCCCGCTGCTCCCTTCCCGGGGGCCCTTTGCTCTCCGTCCCCCCCTGTGCGCCCTGCCCGTTGGGCGTGCCCCTCGGCGCCTCCCCGCACCCCGCTGCCTGTGCCGGCCGCCCTCCCGGCCTCGGGCTTCCGTGCGGACGCCTCGGGCCCTGCTGCCGAGGTGGGGCCCTGCCCGCCAGCCCCGGCCAGCCCTGGGGGCTTCTCCGTCGCGCCACAGGCCCGAGGTCCTTGCCCAGGGCGGTTCACTGGCCACCTGGGGGAGCCAGTTTCAGCCCCATCGCGACTCCGCTGCGTGGTTTCCCTGCCGCGTGGCTGCCGCGCCACGCGGGCTGTGGGCACGGTCGCCCTGCGGACACGCCGGCGCTGGCCGTGGCTTCGGGCGGCCCAGGGGGCGTGGCCCTCGGCCTCTGGTTTCACGTCTTCCTGACCACTGACCCATCGGTCTCAGGATGGGCCCCTCTTTGGAAATGACCCCCGTGGTTGTCGGGGCAGCGGGTCCTTCGTGGTTCTGACCTGGAGTCCAGCACTCTGAAGGACAGGCGGCCGGTGGCCGGGCGTCCCTGCGGTGGCGGCGAGGCCTCTCCACCGCGGGCAGGGACTCTGTCTTCTTGGTGCCGGGGCCAGCAGGTCCCGCTTGATCCGCGTGTGGCCACGGAGGCCGGGACCTCGCCCGGCGTGGACGCGGGCTCTGGAAGCCGCAGGAGGGATGGCAGCCCGCGCCCGGCCGGTGCCCTCC